TATAGTGTTTTTCCTTTATCAACGACATAAACACACCACATGAACCTCACTCCAATGGAAAACTGATGTGGGTCGTCAACGGGCCAGGCTCAAAATGAATACTCTTAATGCTGCTTTAAATAGCTGGACTATAGAACCTGAACAAATGAGAACAAACGTGAGAGATAGAGAAGCATAGATCTTTTGACTTCCAGAAGCAAATACGAGCCGTTTGGAAGGCAAAAGTCGCAAACAGGCAAGCAACTATCAGGTCGAACTCGATCGTCTGCTACACCCGTATAATTCGTGTAGAAGAGGTTCTTCCTATTTGTGGCTCTTTTGTGTTGATATACCCACATTCTCTCTTGTGTCCCTTAACAGTTTTTCTTAAGAAACGAACTAAATGCAGAAGTTCACTTCTGAAGTTCAAAAGTGTCACGTTTTTTTGAAAATGACGATTGTTGCTGTTAATGCAGAGTTGTTGGGCCATTAATGTTGCACCACTTAGAAGTTCGAAAATGTGTTTTCATAGACATGTAATGGAAGGGTTTGATTCACAGCACACCCACTTATGGGACTCATATGTTAGCGTTTATTCGCACGGACGTAGCTGATACTCGGACATTTGTCCTTTGTCTGTAGAAAACTTGCTTGTGGCAGGCCAATAGAAGAAAAAAGCTTTGCCGACATGGAGCTGACTAATTGGCGAAACACAGCTATTTAGGGCGCTCAGCAATATCTGTGAAAAAACCATCATTTATTATCAGAAATTTGCCAATGAATAACAGAGCCCTAACTTGAGATTGAAAATAATGAGTTTTTCTGACAGGAAAAAGAAAGGTCAAATTACTTAGTAAAGTACCTGCCGAAGATCCAATTTGCAAAGGTAATGGCAAACGTGGCACGAAAAAGAGCCGTATTTTGAATCTAAGACCATAATATTTTGACCAATAGTTGGTTATGCCTGTTATAAGCTGCATTTAAAGCTCGTGTACAGCAGGTACTCACAAAACCCTAGAATATATCTGCACATCAGACTGCTGATCATCCAAGTGCACTTTTGTCATTAAGATCAATTTTTAAACACTTAATGAGTTTATTGCTTGGTTTACTTTTAAGATGGTTCGTAACTTTTAGTTACGATTTTTATGAAAAGTTAAGGCTACTGATGGAAAATATGTT